CGGCGTTTCTTCCGGAAATTACGGTACCTGATTCTCTCTGAATAAGAATATTTATGAATGCTAAATGAGAAATATATCGCAGAAAATAGGAATTTAGAAGGTTATGATGTTTTTTCTTTTTATTTATAAAATTTTAAATTAAAACTGGTTTACAAACAATATCGAGCACTGTAAAAACGTGCTCGATATTGTTTGATAAACATAATGACAAACAATACCGAAATGACCAGCAGGCATTATAGTATATTTCTCTTACAATTAACCCACGAGCACACGCAATGGGTCTAATGGACTTGCATGAATAAACAAACCTTTCTTAAAGCATGCCTATTTCATACAAGTTGTTGAGGTCTAGTGTAGTCGCATCTTAGGTTGACATCTGTTTCTGAAGTTTTTTTTGCTGGGGCTTTGATTTGAAGTCTTGTTTTAGATTGGATCAGGTCTTTTAAACTCAGCGTGCCTATTCGAGTTACTATTATATAGTTGATCTGTGATAGTATAGAAAGCAGCAAACATGCCACATTATTTATCTTGCAATGAAGAAATGTTGCAAAAGTTATTACATGCAGCATCAACTGGCAAAGAATGTATTGAAGAAAATGAGGATGGAAGTGATTATGAATTTTTACTTTACATGATACTGATTCTCACAGTGATATAAATTCTGAAAACAAGAAAAAATGATTGGGGGGGAAGATAAAAAAAGATGCAGTGTTTGCCCAGGAAAAAGGAAAAATGAAAACGTGCTTCGCCGAATGTGAAAAATATTTGTATTTGGAACACATGAAAACACATTCTTCAGTTGCTGCTAAAATTTACTGTTGCATATTTTTTCTCTGTCTATAGTGCTAATAAAGAAATAAGAATTGATACAAAGTAAAACTATACTATTTTTTTCCTATGCTAATAAATAATACAATTTTCTATTCCTTTAAGGAATTTCCTTTCATAAAAGCATCTAGAGAAATGAAAAACTTTAATGTGTATATTTTTTAAATTTGATCATAAAATTTATTATTCACATAAAAGTGACACTTTTTCTGAAGATTTACAATATTTTCTTCAAAAAACACGAATCGGGTGTTACGGATAAAGTGACCACATTTCTATTGAGACAAAGCAGGACAAATGGAATGAAATGAAAATTGTAATTTAGTTATGAAAGCAGACCAATAATTCAAAAAAAAATGTATTTGATTGTATACATTCATTTACTTATCTATAAATATACAAAAATATATTTATTATTAACTATTGGTAACTATAAAATATTTGTAAAAACTAAAATTTGAATATTATGTTTTTTTTAATTAATTTAAAATTTATTTTTAAAAAAATGTATGGTTTTCTTTCACGGTCATATTTTTTATCTGAGTGAATACCGTATTTGATGGCATATAAGACGCACCCTTATTTAGAAGGCCCACAATAACATAAAAATTGGTTTCTTTTAATTCTCACATTTCGTAAAAGCCAAATAAAGAATCATTGAATGCAATTACTAAACCAAATCGTGATTTTTGAATGCAATTACCAAATCGTGTTTTTTGAATTATTTTTATTAAGGAAAATTAACAAATGGCAAGCTATTTTGTACATGATATGTAAATTTCAATAATGAATAAATGAATGAATGGCAAGCAATCAAACAAAATACAAAATAAAGCAGAAACAACAAAAAACACAGATTCAAGGAAAACATTGCCTATCATGAAATTAGACTTTAATCACTTTCAAAACCATAAAAATCCTTTTCACTATCATCATCATCGAAAACGAGAATATCGTCATCACTACTCTTTCCGTCATCGCTAGTATCACCTTCTTCGAATAACGGTTGGATGGTACATCAAATGTGAATGGAATTTCCTCCATATTTCCTATTTGACCGAGCTCAAAAGAAGTTTTCTTGCATGCATTTATAACAAACCTATGAAATGCTAGTATTTTTTCTTCATAATCTGCTGGCATTTTCTGTGCAGTAGTTGTTTTTGTACTCATTGATAAGCCTTGCCTTTTTATGAACCTGTAACACCAGCCCTCAGACCCTGAAAAGTTCTGATTCCCATGTTTTCTGCAAATCCTTTGGCCTCATTGATTATAATTTTGGTTGAAACACTTATCCCAGATTTCCTCTTATCTATCACCCACATTTTTACGGCATTTTCAATTTCAGGCCAAGATGGAGTTGGGCATCGAAGGTTATGTTTTTGTTTTTTAGCAGTCTTCAGTTGATCTTCCTGCAGTCGCCAAGTACGTATCATTTTTCCAGTAGGTGGTGGACCGAAATGCCTTCCTGCTGCTCTGTTTCTATGCACTTTGGCGTAGTTTAACACTCCTAGTTTATACTGAATTGTATAGCTTGATCTCTTGTTTCCTGCAGTCATATTTTCCAGGGTCTTTTTTTAAAACAAATAGTTTTAAGCGCCAATACCGACACGTTTATACAGAGTAGCACCAATACCAACACGTGTGTCGGCTGAGTCAAAGAAAGTCTATGTAAAGAAGGAAAGGCTCCATAGACATAATGTGACCGTCGAACCTGCTCGAACTTCGACATCAGCTTCAAGCTTTGGCGCTTTTTGGCGAGAGACATTTAACGCATTCGAAAAAAATAATTATGGCAGATGTAGAAAAAGTTATGTGTGTCTAGACCTTTATCCGGGCTAAAAATAGCATTCAGTATTGAAAGTTAACCTGTGTCTTTCATATATAAGATGCAGGTAACTTTTTTTGAGACCAAATTTAAGACAAAAAGTGTGTCTTATATGCCGACAAATATGGTACTTTGCAATAGATTTGGATCATTTATTAAAATGTCGTGAAATTTCTCACATGAATTTGTCAAATTATATTTTACGCTTAATACATATTTTAAAGTTTTAATGTTCAACTGCATTTTTCAATTGACCATATTTTATTGATACTAGAAAAAAACATGTTTCATTGCTGCATTTGTTCCTAGAAGGGAGAGCGCTTGTTCTACAATTTTCAAAATATTTTCATAAGAAATATTATCTGTTTAAAATGAAGAAATAACTCCGTCCATCTTTTTGTCTGTTTCCACATTTGCAGACAATGAACATTTAATTTTTTCTTCAGTAACATATATTTTTTAAAATGACACCTCATCAAAAGATAATTTTTGCAAATACAGTCAAAATTTTTGTATCCGGACTCGTTGGGACTTCGGCGATTCCGGATTATCGGTTTTTCCGGATTATAGATCATCAGTTTAAATCTGGTAAGATGGCAAGCAGAAATTATAAAATTTAAAATATGAAACAGTAATTTATGAAATAAAGAGCAATTATGATCTAAAGGGTATCAAAATTTACAAAAAAAAAAAAAAAAAAAAAACTTTATATTTATTTGTTTACTTTATTAAACATTTCTTTCAACGCGCGCATATGTAAAGCATACATTACGCATAGTCAAAATTAGAAAATTGCAACCAGAAAATTATTTGATGTGTATTCGTGATATTTATAATGACGAGGAATTTGATTTAAATCATATCAAAGACGGAGTACATCGAGATGAAATACTACATTTAGTAAGGAATTATAAGTCAAATAAAATAAAAACATCTGCCCTGAAGATGAGCATAGTGCTGACAGATCAACTACCAGTTCATTGTGCGGCGCGATATTCCCCTCCCCCCTCAGAGCACGTGAAGTTGATAAACAGATTGCGGAATGGTTAGAGAAACAATCGATATGCCTTTATCCATTTTTTGCAGAAAGTTCCACTTTTTGTTTGATGGACATCGAAACATGCTTTCGCTTTGTAGATCCTTTGGCAGCTCCAGAATCGGAAATTCTTTTTGACATAATCGAAAGTTCAAGCTTACTTTTATAAAATTGCTCTAACAGTCAGCAAAAAATAATAAGCCGGATCCAATTAGAAGATTAAGAAACAACGCAATCTGCAACATTAACTGAAATAGATAATAAGATAATTTTAGCTTAGCTGATACCGTCCGTCATACGTTAAACGCATGTGCAGAAATTATGCGTTTATGCATGCGCAGAAAGTTTGTAGCTTTGAGGTCTGGATTATAGATCATTCCGGATTATGGACGTCTGGATTAAAGATTTTTGACTGTATTATTTTTCGGAAAATGTTTACTAATATATTAAAAAGATTTTTTCACATATTCCCATAATATCTTTTTTATGTTCCCCAATGAAAATTTTTAATATTCTCGAATTGAACTGTCTGTTCTTCAAGATATTCCAAGCAGTTATTATAAAAATTTCTGATTTCTTTTGGAAAATCAGGTTGTTTAATGGCACCTTGTTCTTCCAACCTAGTAATGTCCTATCGAATAACTAAAGGAATGTAATTGTTATCAATTCTTTCTCGCAGTTTTGTTTTTAAATTATCGATTTCCTTTGACACTTCCGTTATTGAAATTTAGTCCTCTTCAATAATTTTCACAGCAATGTGAAATAATGTAACTTGGTTGTGGATGAACTGATGCCAAATTTGTGATGTGTCATTTTCAATAAAGAGCTGCAATATTCTTGGACATTTAGCTTGTGATAAAAAGTATGATTTTAATGGTTCATATATTTTAAAAATATTTTCTACAGCTGGTAAAAGAGCTAGCCATCGTGTTTTGCTGTAACCAATAATTCTTTATATTCAATTTCTGCACTTTCACAAAAATCCTTCAAACTTTCAACACACACAGTGTGCATATATAAAAATGTGGTCACTTTACTTATGGACGGAGTGCGCGCATTTGTGTAACTCATATGAGCGCGCGTGCTTCCTGGTTAATATTTTTGTTTAAAAACAGCTTTGTATTTAAGAAATATCAAATTATAATATTATTTTATCGGCGGGACGCGGGTTTAGTAAATTTGGATTAGTAAACAACTAATCCAAATTTTGGATCTTCTGTTACGTAACAATGTCCTTTTTGTTGTGTTATTTTATGCTTAAATGTCCTATCATTTAAGGATAAGGAAAGGAAATCAAAACCTACTTACCAATTTATTTAATTTTTAATGTTCGTCAACTCCAAAAAAACCCAAGATAAACACTTTTTCTACATAAAATGAAATCAAAACACATGTACATTATTAAAAGCCTAAAGAAACCGCGAAAATTCCGCGCTCGATCGGTGTTGCCAGATCTTGAGGTTAAAAGCTAGCAAGGATGCGTCCAAAATTAGCGGAAATTAACGAATTGTTAGTAACCTAAACGTATGAATGAGTTATTTTGCTACTGTTAACTTTTTATTAAAGAAACAAATCTGTATGAATACATACGCGCACACATATACAGATATGCACATACAAACACACACGCGTGCGCGCACGCATATATGTATGTGTATGTATATATATATATATATATATATATATATATATATATATTTAACAAACATTTGTATAAGCAAATTTAAAGTTAATTAAATTTTAAATAAGGAAATTTAATTGCAAACAAATAAATGATTAATTATTGCTGCGAACTAATCTACAATATCATTTAAATTCTGAGAGTACATGTAAATCAATTGCAAGTATCAAAATCCATGAATAAATATATAATTCCAAAAAAAAAATTTAATCCTAATTTTTTTAAATCCTAAAAAGTTTAAAAAAGTGCATAAGTGAATAATTGTTGAGCAAGCGGGAGACAAGACTTATCAAGGGGAAGTTGCCTCCAACCCTAACTCTTCAATTAAAATCATCCCTTTGCAGACAATATATTTTTTTTAATAATAGTGAGAACACAATGATTTCCAAAAAAAAAAAAAAAAAATTGCAAGTCGTAAAATTTTAATTCAATAATAATTTTTAGCACTATAGTTCTTTTTAAATAATTGCACATTTTTAAAGTCCTATTAAGTTCAATCTATAAAAAGTTCTTGTTTCTGGAACAATTTTGATACTTCAGAAAAGGATTTCCAAACATTTTTGTACACAGTATCACAATTATGAAAATTTTATGTACCCATTAATTATTACGAATAATCATAAATCTGAAAATTTTACACTATACTAATTTTCCAATTAATAGTAATACTTTATCATTTGTAATAGCATTATTGAAATCAAGATTTTTACTTTTATTATTACATTTTACAATTTTCTTATTTTACACAAACTGGAAGACCCCACAGCTTCCCCCTAATGCACACATATCCAGCTATTTGGCCATATCTACTTTAACGAACTGAATTTTCATGAGTGGTTAAGGATTGCTTTGGCCTCCGTTCCTTAAAGGCAACTGGACTTTTGAACTGCACTATACATTCAATTATATATATTTTTTTAAATCACACTCTATTGTATGATAAAAAAATAAAATTCCTATAGAAAAATTAAATAAAGTGGAAGCCTTCAAAGTTTATATTATATGAGGAGGATAAAAGGATTAATTATGCGAAGCAAGACAGGCCTCTGTTTCTGAACCAGTACTCTCTCAAAATACTTTATATTTAACATACAATGATTGATAATTATAACATTCACTTACCATAATTCCAAACAAATTTTAATACATTTTATTCTTAATTAAATTATCGTATAAAGGTACTTTTCCGTTTTGCCGGCGCAAGCGGTAAAGTCGTCAATAATGGTATAACTGATGCCAAACGGAATATCCTCGTGGGTAACCTTTTACGCCTCATTTTCAAAACAAGTCACAACCATTTCTTTATCAGATTGATTGGTTTCTTTCAATACTGGCATATAATTACATAAAATATTTTACCAGATAGTACAATTTTATGCCCAAAGCCATTCGCGGTAATTAAGTCAATTAGAATGCTACACTCACGCTCCCCACCGCCCACCCCCCGAAGGCGAAAATATAGAAAAGGCAAAGTCAAGGGTTAAATTCATCATTTCTAATGAGAATACACTAGCGAAGTAAAGTGCTGTGGTTTTACATAATTTCTGAGAAAGCTATTGGTACGAATTGAAATAATTCTTACATTTAAACTTGTATTGCAAATTAAGATTTAACTTGAAATTAATGTAGATAATTACCGAGAGAATTAGATTTTTGTAGCGTAGTTTACATGAGATGAGATCACTTGGGGTCACGTGATATGAACCGAAGAATCAGCTTGTTGAACCATGAAAGCATAATAAATTCTTAAATTAACGTCTTTTTACAAATTTATTGTCTTCATTTATTGGCTTTTTAAAAAATTTTAAACGATAATAAAACGTTTATGCCTTCAAAATAAAAAAATTCTTAGAACTAAGATTTGTTAACATTTTTTATGTGTATACTGTATGTTGTCGCCAGTAAAATCTGCTTGGCGAGATTTGCGCCGGCGAAGCGGAAAAGTACCCATATAAATTTTAATACGATTATTCAATTTCTTAAATCTTTGATACTTCTTTATTAATTTTAACAATATTTAATACTCTCCCATTTAATAACTATTTCATTTATATTTCATATACACATTCTTCTCAAAATAATTTAAAAAAATTTTATATTCAAATTTTCAAACAATACTCTTATTAACAAAATAATTCCCAAATTCTAATCTTGTTAGAAAAATAATTCCAAATTTCTTAAAATTAATTCAAAATTTTTGACAAAACTTATACTTACCAATAACAATAAAATTTAATAATTTATTGTATATCAATAATGAATCTTAGAATACTTATACATTTAAATAAAAGCTTAGGGTAAAATCTGAATACTTAGACCCTGAATAAAATAATTCTGAATAAAACTTTAAAATACTTATACATTTAAATTTGATATTTTCTTAAAGCAGCGCTACATCATATTTTCAGATTTCAAAACATAATCAATTATCGAGTAAGTTATTTATAATGATGCAATTAGAGAAAACTCAATATATTTTTTATCGCGTAAGATCAAAACACATTTTTTCAATATCGTCACTTGATTTCCTCAATGGAAAACAATTTGAACATTTAATTTGAAACCGAAGAAATAAATCACATTTCGATACCACTTTTGAAAATCTTTCACTTTCCAAATAAGCGAAGCACTTTTCAAGACGTCGTTAAATCACTTTCATACTTGTTGAGAAACACATTGCCTATAATGCTATTAAAAATCAATTTTCGCGCACCATGCTTCGATGTTACAATGTAATTTCCTTGATTCTTGTACCCTGAATTCTGGTAGTGATGAACGCTTTCTTTTTATTTTATCCGCTATTGTTAAGGTGGCTGAAATACTAAATCCAGTATTTCTTTTCACGAGGCGTTCAAACTTTTGTTTTCTGGGCTTGCAGATGAACGAAGACAGTTAACTTTTGCAGATACAATTTTACAGAATTCAACTGAGGAGTAAATGTTCCATTGTGGTTAATAGCACCTGATTGAATGCTGTCCGACTAAAAATGCAATGAAAGTACAATTTTGGAAGCACTGACGTAAGAACACTGAGATGTAAAAGCATAACAATGTTGTTTAGCGTAGATACTTGACGCATATTAAAGAGGAAAAATCAAGCCGGATTAATTTCCTTTTTATTTAATTCAAATTTGTGGCCACAATTCACTTGGCACTCCAGTCGTGCCTGTTTCTAGAGCATCCACGCAGCATAGACGTTGAAGCGAAAAATGACTCATCAATTCAGAGGAAGAAGGGAGGGAGTCAAAAATTTCAGTTCGAGTTATAAAACTTTTGGTTTGCAATTACTTGATTGGGCAAGAGTGATCTGCATTAAGCGTTACGTAGGATCGTCTGATTAATTTGAATGACGCAGTTTATTAACAATATTTACAAATCTTCAAAATTTCAGAATTCTTTCATAATTCATGAATTGATCTACTTTTTCACAGGTAAATAACGATATTGCAGTTTTCTTCTGACATAACTAAATCTTTATTAGGAACCTGTTCCGACTTGGGCCAATTATTTTCTTTGTCCTTTAAACATTTGGTCCCTCCTACCATCTCGTCTCGATAAGGTGTCTGGGGCTACAACCGCGAGATGGCAGGACCGCCCAAATTACCCAGGACAAGATACCATTGACGTGATTCTGTGGGTTTGCATATTTCTCTTATTCTGCTACTCACAAAAGTACGCCATTGGTCATTTCTTCGTATCCATGCTATAACTGTTGAAGAGTTATTCCAGTGATAAACTGGTATAATGTAAGGAAATTCAGAACCTCACGAATATAGTTTACTAATCTGTCTCCCAAACCCAAGGAAGAAGTTCTAGACGCGGCATTGTCAAAGTCTTTTTTAGAGCAAGTCGTGATTTTTCTCCTAGAAGCTGTACAGAAATCCTATCATCATCCTCACAGCGCAGTAAAATTACTGTTGCGTATGCATTCTGACTCGCGTCACAAAAAACATGCATGAACCATTTTCCCTTTATTTTCGTAACCTATACGCCTGTTTGCCTTTAAGTTATATAATTGTTTCAATTCACTGTACCATTTTGAAAGTCCTTTTGAATCTCCTCTGGAAGCGGAGAATCCCATTCTGACTTAGCTGACCAGGCCTCCTGAGTCATTAGGCTTGGCTGGCAACAATGCTGGGACGAGAAAACCAATGAGATCGTAAATATCTTGTGTTATAGACAAGATCTTTCCTTTAATAAGAGTTTCTATTTCAGGGTCAAATTTATTGCAGATCATTAAACAATCTTTCTGTCTATCCCATCTAATCCCCCAAACCGAAATTGGAGTTGTAAGATCTCCTTCAAACAAACTTCTGTTCTCAGATGACAACTTTTCCGTTTCTTCTACAGGATCGACTAACCATGATCTCAAATCCATCTTAGCTTCAGACATAATTTCAGTTGACTTCCGGATGAATTATTCTAATCTGGATGCACTGTCTATAGACGTTAAGCAGTTGTCAATATAGAAGGACTTCAGGAGTTTGTCGTCTGCTTTGAATTCTTCTGGATTCTTGTTCAGATGGTACTTTATAGCTGCGTTGAGGAAAAAAGGGCTACAGGTAGCTCCAAATAACACTGTTATAGTGATAGACTTTAATTTTACTTGCCTTCTGCCACCATAAAAATCTAAAACATCAGCGATCTTCTTCCTGAACTTCAGCTTGGAGGAAGGCTTTTCTAACATCGGGTATAACAGCAATAACCCTTTCTCGAAATCTCAATAATACAGCTGGAATTTTTCGATCAAATTGGGCCTTTGA